GTTACCTTTGGTACCATAGGTACACATTTAGGAATAATATAGTAAGTTCAAGAGAAATGCTGTATATCTCACGGTAGAGCTGAGGCTTGGGGCCACTCTAAGGCCTTTGCAGCCCATGGTCCCCAAATGGCCACTCAACCAGTAGCAAATGATAAGGCTGGCAGTAGAAACTATGCTATTTTTAAAAATTAATTTTAATTAAAATTGTCAGGAGCAGTTGGCTCAATATGAACATCATTATAGATACTTATTTGATATAGTTATTTTTAAAGCATTATTTTTAATAACTCACAAATAGCCATCCAAAGGGAACACACACACACACAAACACACACATACACACCATGTATGACCATTATGTTTTGGAGTGTTACTTATTTTGTTGTCTCACTTTTACTTATTTCATTTCCTTATTCTCACTATAACATTTAGGGCTAGTGGCAGTGATCTTTGTGGATCCCCAGATGCTGTTAATATTTGTTTGTTTGTTTGTTTGTTTGTTTTTAAGATTTGTAAGGCTGCCCAACTCAAACAGTGTGAGTCTGGGCAGCACCCAGAATAAAAACAGACAATAAATCAAAGAAGGAAAAAAATCCACATAACAAAAAACAGTACAATATATTAATAGAAAGCTTTGAGGTCCTGCCATCATGTTCTTTATCATTCAGCTAAACATGGATTGATAATTCTTCCAAAAGGAAGGATGGCCTTCAAAACAGAAAGCAGTCTCTGTGAACTAGACATCATAGCCATACCAAATAAGTCTACGAAAGCTGATTATAGTCAATATTAAAGACAAAACAAAACATGATGTCAGAACAGACAGAATAATAAGGATAGTTGAGAAAGAGAGAGAGAGACAATGAGAGAGAGAGACAATGAGACAATTAAAAAAGAAACTTATTTTTAGCCATAACGTACAAGGTATTTGTCAAATATAGAGGTAAGCATGGTGAAATCTAGACTTTCAAATGAGTTTAAATTGTTTTAATGTTGTGTTATGTCTGCTTCTGCATCAGTGGCATCTTACATCAGTAATCCATGAAAATGCTCTGATTGTTATGCCTGATTCAGAAGAAAAGACATGTTGGTTACAAACTAAGTAACATACGGCCTACCTTTTAACTTGTTGGAATCAGTACAGGATTGGATGCACATTTTACGGCATAGACTCTATTGATTTCTAGTAAGGTTTAATACCTTTCCTGCTTGAAAGTTGAGGCTGCTTCAATATACAACTTTTGATCCCAAAATCAATCTGCGTTTAAAAACGAGTGCCAATGTTCATTCAAAGACTGCCACTACAGACAGGTATGTACTTTACCAGCCACACAGTATTTCTCCTCCACACACACACACATTACATTATCCTACTCTCAATCTCCACTCCAGGGTTCCTCTATACCCCAAATATTGTTGTTTCAATACATTTCTGGAATCTGGTACTCTGTTTCTGCCAACCATGCCAATTAGTTACTTGGGGAGAAGGTTTTTCAGCAATTTGTGTTGCAGTTTTTGTTGTTGATGGCTGCAAACAACAAAAAGTCTGCCCTATATCATAGATGTTCACTTTGCCTAGATAAAAACTCCAAGCTAAATATTCTCAAATATTCTCTATTCTTTCTGATAGACAGAACTCTCACACCCCCTCTGCAAACAAGTATAAATATTAATGTTATATCCTTTGATGCAATTTTCTGTCCTAGTTTCTGTTTTTTCTTCTAATCTTGATTAGTCAGCTGTAAGAGGACACATATTGCACAAAATGGTGCCACAGTGCTGCCTGGTCAGAACTGTCCGTGATGATGTTTCTGAGAACAATTGAAAATATAGCACTCATTATTGCAAAAAGCCCTGTGAAATTACTAAAGCTGGAGATGCTGTTAACTTTTCCTCTCTACACACAGGTTCACTGTTGCACTATGCCATAATGACATTTGTTCAGTTCTGCATACTGTATGAACCCAAACTGTGATTAATAAACCATGTTTTATGACTTAGCATGTAATACAAACTCAGATAATTATGATTTACTAAACCAACCATAGTTCAAGAAACCATGTCCTGGTGTGACCTGTAACTGCAGGGAGGCAAAGTGACATCACATGTGATGTGTCATGACATCACCACACAAAGGATGATGGAAATTATACTTTTTTTTAATCATTTGTGTTGCGACATCATGATGCAAATGATATAATTTCTGCCATTTGTTGATGATGCTGTGATGAACATTACATTATCAAAGCTTTGACTCTCTCTCTCTCCCTCTCTCTCTCTCTCTCACACACACACACACACAAACACACACACTACTTAGGAAGAAAGCTCCTTTAATTATTAATGAAATACTACAAATAGTCAAAGCACATGCTTTTCCCCCCTTTTCCCTTCAAATTGGCAAATAGTTTTTGCTATCAGACCATATTGTTCTAATTACAATCTAACTGCCAGCCCTACTTGGTACACTTTGTGTGTGTGTGTTTGTGTGAGATGTGTGATGTGCAGGAGAAGTGGATTTTACTGTAAACATTTTATCTTACTCAGAATCTGCTTGCTTCTCTTCATTATAATTTTTTCCTGAAGAGTTGCCTGATTATTTGGCAAATGCAACAGAACCAAACATTGGAGAGAAGAAAAGATTATGGGCACTTCTAACAAAGCTTTCTCAAATCTCACAGATGGTTTTCAGACTATTTAATTTTCCAAATGAACTGGCCTCTGTCCATTGTGTGCCTCCAGCATGAACAGGTTTTCTCTAAAGCTGTGCCACTAAGGTGAGAATGTTTTATTTTTCTAAATCAAAATAAGGAGATTAAAGTCTTCTGTAGGGTTTACAGTTCTTGGCTTCAAGGGAACTCCTGTTCATTGAAAGAGTCATGTTTTGTGAGTACCTCATCTTTCCAAATATGTTTCAGCAAACAAGTTGATCCTCATCCTTTTTAATCTACTGCTGACTAGAACTTAAGCTGGGAATGCCTAGGCTGATTGCAAACTGGCAAACAAAGCTTATTTATGCAGCTGCCATTATCTAACCATAAACAGGACTAGAGATTTTTTGCTATCAAAATCTGCACCAAGGCAATTCAAACATTATGACAACTAGATGCATTTGTATATGAATTATACAAGCACCTTTGCATTCTTATTTCTGCTTTTAAGAAAATATTTTATACTAGAATACATTTGTACATGCTATTCTGTTCTAATCAGCCATCCAGAGAAGCAAGGTCTATGCAGAGATCTGTGATGTAATGAATATGATCAACAGAAACTGCATTAGCAACTACTCTGGTTACAGAGTAGGGATATCATTATTTCATGATCCCTTGTCTTACAATACGAACATTATTGACCCATAATCTTTACCAATGAGTATTATGACTCTATGAGCTCAGTTCAGAATTTAATTTGAATCTGATAAACCCTCTCACATGGCTTCTACTCTGGCAGCTGTTAGGAAGAAGCTGTTGCTGTTTTCTTAATATACCTGATTATTTATTTATTATTTATTGAGTAACATTTATAGCCCATCCCAAGCTTAATAGACCCTGGGCAGCATATAACATAAGTAATAAAAATACACAGTAAAAATGCAAAGTAAATTCATCCAATCATTCTTCAGTACTTTTCTATAACAATGTCCCAACCAGGTTGGGCCAAAGGCCTGGCTGAATTGGACTATTTTCATTTGCTTATGAAAAGAAAGGATGGTTACAGCTATGTACACCTGCAAGAGAAGAGAGTTTTATAAAGTGGAGACCATTACATGAAAGCCCTATCATTCATACCCTCCAGGAAAAGTGGGGGGACACCCAACAGGCCCTCATTTGATGACCTGACTCAAGAAGAAGATTTGACTCTGGCAAGTAGTTGCCTGACGTATCCTAATGTTGAGCCATGTAAGGCTTTGTAGCACCACTATGAATTGGGCCTGGAAGCCTATTGGTAACCAGTGCAATGCAATGCCTTTAGAATAGGTGTTTTTTCTACACTGGTGGGGTTGTCCTGCCACCAATCCCATCACTGCATTTTATACTAGCTGCAGCTTCTATTCTAAAGAGTCCATATAGAGCATATTACAGTAGTCCAACTGAGTGGTGATCAAGGCATGAGTCACAATTGCCAGAGGACTCTGGTCTACATCGGTCTATAAGAGGCACACCAGCCAAGACCTAGCCATAGCTCCTTCCTGCTGTCTGAACAGGAACACTGCATTATCCTCTGTTATAACTGCCAATGTTTATAGTCCAATAAATATTCGTTGTTGGTTTTTTTTAAAAAAAAAAAGGCAAGAGAAACTCCTTGATGCAGTTCTGCAAATATGAGCTAGATTCATTTCTAACTGTTAGCATTAGTGGCAGGAAACACAGCATCTCAGTCTTAACAGTGGTCCTGAGATCAGCCTTTTCTTTTTCTTTTTTTCTTTGCCTGCATCTGAACTAATGCCATTCATTACTAGCAAGGAAGCAAACCTGAAATATAGCAGAAACAAATATGGCAAATAACCATCCAAATATTAGATGGCCCTGGAATCAGAAAGGTGTGGGTATGCACACATATGCACAAACTGCAAATATGTTTAAAAATGTAGAAATACTGCATGTAATTTAAATCCAGTCATTCATCTCCTAAAATCCTTCATTTCTTGGCATCCACAATAATGTAATCCATGTGCTTTGGACATATCCCCTTTCTTATCTGGTGTAATCTTAGAACGTAGGAATGACTCAACATTATTTATTTTTTTAATATTATTCATGTGCAAGCAATAAGTAAACAAAGTTTTATCCTACGGACACTAATCTTAGTTTTCCACTGAAATTCAGCAGTAATAATTTCTAGATATATCTAGGTTTTAACAGATGATCGTTAACCCTTGGTATTCTCTATTTTGTTTTTTTGTTGTTGTTAAAAATACGCTAAGATTATCTCATTTTTTTTCTTGAGTGCAATTTTATTTTTAGTACAATAGTTTTGAAAGTTACTATTACAAACGTGGACAATTTTGACACAATCAATGAGTTGAAAGAGAAAGGGGAAAATGTACAAGAGAATGCCATCCTTTACAGATATCTCATTGGCTATGTACATGGCAGGACCTCTTTTGGCTGGAACAGTGCATGTGACTGCAGGTTGACTCCTGTTGTCTCTGCTCTTCAGGCCAGAGCATGTCCTTGACACAAGAGCCTGACAGCATCCCCAGGAGATCACAGCTCATCTGCAGAGCATCATGGCTACCTTGCCAATGGAAATGGAGTAGGGGACTGCAGTGGTAAGCTTGACTGTCCGGACTGGCATCTTTCCATATACTTCTGACATCAAATAAAGGCATAAAAAGATCCCTAAATAAAAGAAAAGAAAAAGAAAGAAATAAAGAAAGTTGTGGAGAGTGTCCATGCTGTAGGGATCATTAATTATTCACCCACTTTTTAGAAGATGACAGAAGAAAAGATTTAATCTTATCAGTTCTAGAAAAGAAGCAACATTTTCATAATAATTACTTAGTTTAAGTATGGATACATTAATTAACTAGTATATTTCATTTGAAAAATAGAACTTTTTTTTAGAAAAAGCTTTTTTAAAAAGTATATAAGCTTTTGTAAAAAGTTCAAATGGCATCCTAAAAGACTGCTATTCCCTTTCTGTCATGTATAGTGATTTGAAAAGGGGGGGGGGTGTCCATGGGGTATGGGAGTCATAAAAGTCAAGATGACAGGTGGGATCATGCAATCAAGCTGCTCCACTGCTTGTTTACAGTACATGCTTACAATGATATGGCATACATGAAAAAGATATGGGCTTTAATCTCACAGTCATGCCTGCCATCATGACCTTTCTGACCTCTCTCCCTTGCAGAGACCTCTGATTCAGAAGGTACTGTGTAGCCATCAATAGCTCAGTCCTGTATGAATCTCTTTGGTCTCCTTTTAAAACTACCTAAACGTGGGACCATTACCACAACTGATAGCAATGAAATCCATTATTTAACCATGCCCTTTAATGTGTGAATTCAGCTGGGGAATCAAATATCCTAACTAAATTCTCAGGATAACTTTTTAAAATATATAAAAGGTCTGGAAATGTTGCAATACAGCTACGTAGGAAATTCAGAACTGCTAAGAGGTCTGTTATCCTTCAATTTCTGATTAGCTGGTAAGATCATCTAAACTTAATATTGTTAGTTAACATTCACATAAGTGGAAAAATACATTCAGAACATAAAACATTCAAACCTTCATATATTCCTACACACATACATTTTAAATGTTCATATTTAAATGGCCCCCTGATCTAAATCTTCACATAATTACTCCAGCTATCTTTTCATTTTGATTGAGCAACATGAATGGTGACTCTTCTGAGGAGCACAAAGAATTAAAGATATTCTCCAATCCATATCCCTTAAAAGTGATCTTTCCAACTAAATTTTGTATACTTTTGTTGATTGCCTATAAAAAAGTTAGTGTCAACATCTGGTATCTCAGGCTAGAGGAAAACTTCATCCCTTGACAAGTTATCTTTATGTAAATTCAACCTCCCTATTTTCAACTTTATTATCCATTCTACCTGAAACAAAACAATTAAGCTCTTTAGGTCATCCTTACCTTACCCTACATACATTTTCTATGAATGTACTATTTGTGCAATCTATGAAGGGTGAATATTATGTAGCCAAAACATATCTGTTCCTTGGCTACACTGATTTGTTAAAATGTCAATTTCTTAGGGAATTGGGGAAATAGATAAACTTTGTCATTATTTCTTTTTCTTTCTTTCCTTTTTTCTGTTTTGGAACGCTATAGTTTTGCTTGACTATCCCTCCTCTGGCTTTTTGCTGGGCGGAGGTAATTACCCCTGGCCTCCACTCTAAGCTCAAGATTAGCTCTAACTCTTGGATATGTTTGCTGAGATCTATGCCTTTAGGTAGGAAAGTTAATAGCAAGAGAATTGACACCTCTATTGCCCCAATGCCCGCGTGAGCCATAAGTTTAATAAAACAGGACTTCCTTAATGTTGCAGCAGTAATAACTTCTGTCCAAAGGTTGTAGTCAAGTTTAGATCTGAAGTCACCATATGGACTTTATTTGTACAGTAAGTGGGGATGAAAGAATATCTACCCCAAAAGCACAGTAAACAAAAGGAGGCACTAATGACATACCACTTGTGATCTGCTAATTAAAAACTGTGCACCAATATGCTTATCAGGGGAGTAAATTTGTTTTTGCTACCTGACTGAGATGGGGTGAGGATAAAAGAAAACATGGACAGGAGAGGTTATGAAGCACATACCAGACCATGATCCACATTTTATTAACTACTTTAGGGAATGGTTGTAGCCCAGTGATAGAGCACATATTTTGTTTTCCAAGATCTCAAGTTCAATCTGTGAAATCTGTGGGTAGTACTAAAAAAAAGACTCCTCTGCCAGACACTTCAGGCAAGTCTAAAGTGATCCAACAGTCTGTCCAAGTAGAAGATAGTTTCCTAGGAGAGGAATTAGGCCAAAATGCTGGGTCAATGTAGAATGAGTGCTCTCCTCCACAGGGCTATTTCTTAAAATGAGAAATAATGTAACATCAACTTGTAGTAGAAACTAGCAGTAGTTAATACTGAAAAGAGCAACCCAGAGAACGCTTGTCACCCTCCTGTAAGAGAAGTGCAACCCAGCAACAAAATCCAATTATTAAGACCCTGCTGTACATGGGGGGGGGGGGGGGGGGGGGGAGGGGAGAGCACAGATACTTTTAATATGCAATTGTACTCAGAAATATAGTTACCACATTAAATAATGAAGTCATTGACCACAATGTCCTCTTGGCTAGTCCTCAATAACTAGGCTGGCAACACAATTATGCTGCAACTTATATTCCACTATCCTGACTTACTTACTGAAACTTAAAAAATGTCTCTGCTGTGCCTGATGTTTTGCATTTGTTAAAATTCATCAATTTTGGGAATCAAATCATTCTTGCAAACCTAGATAGTAATGAAATTTTTATTTAGTAATCTTGAATTCACCAGAAAAAAATGAAAAAGAATGGAGGGTAAAGACCAGACAGGGAAAATCAGGCAGAACAGGGAAATAGAAGTGAAAATTATCTGAGATACAAACCAAAGTTAAGCAAACAATATTGCTGTCCTAAGCATATTAAAAATGAATGAAAACTCAACTGAAATCAATGGGATTTATTTCTATATTTACAGGCAGGGAATAAAGAAGACCAGAGAATGTACAGGAAAGAAACATACCGATCAATTCTATGCACCTTATATTTTAATAAACTAAATATCCCAACTCTGTGCATATTTATTGGGAAGAGAAGTACATGTAGTTAACTGAGTTACTTTCAAATACCCCTTTATGGGATTACAGCCATTATTATCTACTCATAAAAAATCTGTGGTGGGACCTGTATAAAACTGGAATCCCTGAAGATATCATTTATATTGAGAATTTGAGGTTCATAGAGATATTATGCACCACTTACTGTTTCAGGTAAGGACAGACTTTTTTTTTTCTTTATCCCCATTAAGGTGGTATCTATATGCAGTATTTTTCTTCAATGAAATGAAAGGCATCCAGGTATATTCAGGTATAATACTGTCATGGGGGTTACATTTGCCTCTGGTCCCTTAGCAAGAATAGGTTGATCTTTATGTTCTATTTTATTTATTTAATTTAGAGGCCAGCCAACTCCAAATGCCTCTGGCAGCTTTCACTTTGAAAGCAAGAACAATAAAAATTAAGAAACAGACCACAGACATCCAGGACAGAAACCAAACCTAACAGCAAAAAACAACCTACAGGGACTCAGCACCCACCCTACCCCAAGGTCTGGGAGATCAGCCAGGTTTTCAAAGGCAGAACATCATTATGTCAGAGCCATATGGATCTCTGGGGGGATGCTAATCCAGAGGAAAGGCACTATGACAAATAAGGCATGCTTCCTAGGTCCCAACAGATGATATTATTTAATTGAGGGGACCTGGAACTCACCCACTCTGCCTGATCTTAGTGGACATTACCAGATGGGCTAATTACAGCTAATCTTCACAAAAGAGTCTGATCAAAATCTCTGTTCATTACTGTGCCATCAAAGTTCATCAAATGTGTGAGGTCCAGTTCCTACGCCAAACATCTTGAAATTAGAAATCTGATGCAGGGAGACAACAGAGAGGAGAGATAAGCATGTTTTAGCCTTTGGCACAGTGGATATAGGGAACAAATGACTGTATCACAGACTTAACAGAAAATGGATTTTGAAAAGGTATTTGAAGAAAGAACACTAGCATTATCTGAGTGTTCTGGGAATAAGCATTAAAGAAAATTTCCACAGATGCTTCAAAGAACAAATTTAGGCTCTTCCCTCTTGGTGGATCAATTCTAGGACAAACCAGTGTGATAGAGTGATGAAGGCAGTGGGTTAAGAATGGGAAAACCAGATTCAAGTCCAACTTCTTCCACAGAAGCTCACTGGGTGACTTGGCCCTGCTACTGTGTCTTAATGCAACCTCCTGTACAATACAGGGTTTTTGTTGCTGTGGGGAAAAACTGGAAAGAGGAGTGCTGCGTTTGCCATCTTAAGTTCCTAGAAACAAGGTGGGCTATATTTCTAACAAACAAAAATAATTTGGAAAAAAAAAAGACTAGCAATAAATAAGAATGTGTTAATGAAGGTAAAATATGATACCGAGTTTTCAGTAAAAAAGGAGTATAATTTTTGCAGTGTCATATGGGAAGAAGTATTAAATACAGAGAGAGAAAGGTAAGAACACCATAGCTGTTTTCCTGGCCAACAGAACAAAAGGTGATATTGATACCAGGATAGTATAGCTTCAGAGGAAAAATGAGAAATTTAGTTTTGGACATAAGAAAGTATATCAACAGAAAGATAATGATTTACAGAACTAGGACTGGATGGAGAAAGCTTTGAAACAGAGAACTACAGTTAAGTATCTTTAATGTAAATATAACCCAAAATATAGGACTTTATGTCACTTAGAGACAGCAGATAAAGAGAGAAGGATGAGAACAAAGGAAACCCTTGTATGTGTCACAGTGGAGAATACAAAAGAGACAGAGATTCCAGACTCATGGATAAGGGAGAAAGAGACAAAGATAAACTACAGTGATAGAGAACATGTGGGAGGTTAGTGAAAGAGAATGTAGTTTAGTTTGTTTTCTCGTAAGTTGGCAATTTGAGACAGTCCCTTACTGTTGTGTGGGAGCCATTTTCTAAGAATGCCTATGACATGTTTTCACAATTCCAAATGTACCCACATGCCCACAAAATATTGGGAACCTGTTGTAAGGGGGCAACCTACATGGTACTTGGAGCTG